GTGTGTGCTGGCCGTGCAGGCTTTAGTGCTGCAGTGTGGGAGAAGGTGTAGGTGAAGAGCAGGGCGTCGTTTCAGGGCGTCTATGAGGGGCGGGGTTACCTTGTCAGTGAGGATGAAAGCGTTGACGATGTCAATCACCTCTTCGTGCGCGCCTGGAAGGTACGCGCCCACCTTACTGACCAGCCACTCCTCACCTGAGCCACAGACACAGGTGAGACAGTTCGTGACACTTGAACATAAAACGAATCTTTTCTGAATCTGCAGAGGAAACAGGAAGTCCCCGTGAGCCTCGGGCTTAAAGGGGAACCATAACCCAACGTTTCACGGAGGAGGAGCTTAAACAGCTTATTTCACACACAGGATGAACTAAGTATCATTTTGAACTACAATCATGCAAAGCCACCCTGTTTTCCCTGATATCCTTTTGTACATCAGAGAGATTTCTTTCATACCTGTATGTATCGTCTGATGACGAGTAAATGCCCCAAAGTTTTGTTCTGAATAATAATAAAGAGGCTATTCTATTCTATTCTAATAGAGTGAATTAATAAAAGTATGGAGCTGAAATAGGCAGAGCCAACCTCATTTCTTGTATTCATTTCATTTTTACTGTTTAATCATAATCAGCTTTGATTGAAGGTTTTATGTGACGCCAAAGTGAAGTTGATTCATTACAAAATGCAGGAAAATCTGAGCATCCAAAACCACCAAGAGAAGAAAAAAGGGAAACAAATAAGTTCCACATGTGCAAGATGCAAAAAAAAGTTGTTTAGTTTGATCTTTCTCTCTGTGAACTGACTTCTTGGGTACATTTGGGGGCGGAGCTTCAAACAGTTCAGGGGTGCTCACAGGTGAGTGTTACCTGTCACTCTGTTGACTCCGGTTCTGTCCTTGCCCTCCTTGCGAGCTCTCAGCCTGATGGCCTGGTTCTCCCTGATCACCGTGGCCTTGATGGTCTCCAGCACGGCCACCTCCTTCCTGGGGATGTAGGTCCCTGAAACCAGACGAGAGATATATATCGTAATTGCAGCTCGTGCCGTGCTTTCAGAAACGCAGATTAAAAGGAAAATGCAAATCAATGAAGTATTTGTTCTGACAACCAGTCAAACCAGTACACACCGGGTCCTTCGAACAGCCACTCGTCTCCAGCTACTCTCTTCTCTCCTCCCTCCACCTCAAAGTCCAGCAGAGCCTGCAGACGCAGAGCCGTGTCGGGGTACACGATCTGCAGCGGCGTCACGTCCTGGAGGCCAAAAATCGTCATTCGAATCAGCGAGAACAAAGAAACTCTTCAGTGACTCCTCCTTCCACGACAGAACGCGCAGTGAAAGAGTTTCTTCTTCTTTAATGTTAAATTGAACTTTTTCAGCTGTTCATGATTCAGTTCAAAAGCCTGATTTATTCTCTGCACCGCCCACTTCCTTCTGATTGGTCAGTTTCTGGAAGCCTGCAGCCTGACTTTTCATCCTTTTTTAATAACTTCTTTATGTTTTCATCTTCATTATGTCTCCCTGATAAAGTTTCAATTCCCGTGAAATAAATGAACAAACCTGTTGCATCTCCTCCCCGGGGTACAGGGGGAACGGGTCCTGGGTCAGGCGGATCTCCAGGTCGGCGTGACGCAGCTTGGCCTGTCCAGATTGGTCAAACAGGACCTGGTTGTCGTCATCGCGGGCCACGGGGTTGGCGATCACACAATAGTGACGAGGAGGCACCATGACCATGCGCACCGGAGTGAAAAGCACTCTGGGGGAAAAAAAGGAGAAGACTTTGATGTTATGAAGTTTTGAGCTCCTCCCGAGGAAGCCTGAATGTCAGAGGTCTTCCTGCTGAAGCCGGAGGGCGGCTTCCTCTGACCTCTCGTTGTCCTGGCGGATGTAGGTGAGCGGTCCGATCTCCACTCGGGCGATGTTGGTGTTCTGGTCCAGGACGTGGATGTAGTGATGCGGAGGGATCCGGATGATCGATGCCTCCAACAGCCCCTCCATCTCTGGCCCGCGGTTTCCGGCCTTCTTAGACATGATGTCAGCGAATTACTGCAGATGATGGCATAGAGAGGGCGGGGCTTATTAAAGGAAAGAAGGAAGTGTATCAGGAAAAGAGAAAAGCTGAGAATAACCTTAAAAAACAATTTTTATCACGTTTGATTTCAAATGAAGAAAAAAAGAACCGACTCTGAGGGAAGACTTCTTCACGCTGGTTCAGCTTTTTACTGACATCTGTCAGCATCTCCTGTTTCTACAGCTAATCAATACAAGCCGCCTGATGGCAGTTATTGATTATTGAACACAGACCCTAACAAAGTCTCTGTAAACGACTGGCTGACACCTCCACAGCAGAGCACGAGTCTCTGGGTGGTGCAAAGGTTTCACCAATAAGAGGCCTGCCGGGGTTTAGGTTCACCTGCCGGGTTAGTCTGCTGCCTGCCTTTTAGTCATTTTATCTCCATATTTCCATAAATTCCAGGTCTGTAAAGACTCTGGCGACATGTTTATGAGCCACGACCAGAAACACGAAACCTCGTCCTCTGCTGAATCCACCACAACCCTGAAGAGCAAACACATCACACAGTGAGTGAGTCTGAGCACACTGGCGTCAGGATATCAGCTCAAACATTCACACGCTGCTGAGATAAGAGCTGAAACGGAGTCTGAGATGAACTTGTGACTGAATCAGACACAGCAGGCTCCACAAATCCCGCAGCATCGTGCGCCCAATAACATTTGCATGCACTTTGCTCAAAGTCAGAGTGTCATATGACCTGAAAAACAAGCTCGACCTGAAACAGCCGATCATCAATAATCACAAAGAAAACAATAAAGTCAATGTGCAAACACTGATGACCCACAGAGGCGTGGATCTGGAGCCGCCGAGCACAGGGCGTGTTTCTGCAAACAGCAGCTCAGGGCCTCGCGTCCTGTGTCTCTCGAGTTAAACCACAAAACTTCACATTCCGGTTCCCATGACTGTCACAGGAAGTGACCTCACGAAACTACTTCCTTGACCAACACAGGTAGATGTGTCCAAACTGCGTTGAACTCTGTAGTCTGCAGATTTCTAAACGCTCTGCACGAGGCTGCGTCCTGGTCAGGCACAGCCAATAAAAGAGGAAGCATGAAACCGGCGAGCAGGTAACAGGAAGCGCTGCAGGTGTGACTGTGGAGAAAGCTGCTCCTTCACTCACCCGCAGCTTCATCCAATCAGCTTAAACCAACCCCGACCACGTGACCTCATGTTACAGTATTTGCATCCACCTTTGTTGGTGTAATCCGGGGTATTTCTCCTCCACCTCGCACACGCGGGTGAAGCCGTCTGAACAAGGAGCCGCGCGGGCAGCTTTAATAACGCAGCACGAAGCTTTTTAAATGAGAAATTCTACTGTCAACTTTTTAATGTGATCAAGTTCAAATCGAAATCGTTGTCTTTTGTTTTGGATTCGCACCCATCAATCACACAGATCACAGCGACGCTCGGAGGATGATGAAGCTTCATTTGATTTTGTTCGATTATAAATATCAAAGCGGGGTTTGATCAGGGTCAGTTCTTAGTCGAGTCTTAGCTCATGGTCAGAGCTGCCATTCATTTAGCCGAATCCTTCAATCTCTGCTTCCCTCCACCTGTTTTCTCACCACGTTAGTCTCATCTTCCTCACGTCTCCACAGCTGGTGCAGCCGCGGCCTGCTGTGAGGTCTGCTCACTACTGTTACTACTGTTGTCGTTAATTCTGCTGTTATTTTTACTTTCTTCTTGTTTTCTCTCAGATTTTCAGCTCCATCTTCTCCACACTGAACTTTTTCTACAGGCTGCCTGTGCGCACGGCGAAGATAGGGGAGGGGTGCCAATCCATCCAGCCCTGGGTGGAGGAGGTGGAGCTGAAGAGCAAAGACGCAGACAGTTTCAGCCTGTAGCATCTTTTACGTGTATCAGAGGTGTCAGCAGCTTCCTGCAGCGCTTTTATAGCAGCATTCACCTCATCATCACAGGCTGTCCAATAACATGGGAAATGTGAGGGTGGCTCCCTCTCCTCTGTAACACGATCAGCTCTGACAGAGGAGGCGGCTCTGCAGGATCACAAACAGCTGCTCGTGTACGCTTAACAAATGTAATGGTTTGCAAACCTGGCAACCCACAAAACTCCGTTAAAGCACTCTGAATGAAAGCCCCTGTGTTTGGCTGAGGCAGCACTCACCTAGTTCGATGTTCCCTGAGATTTTTTTAGTGATTAAAAGGAGAATAAGCAGAGACGTGATAACAGATGGCCTGTATTTGTACGCTTTACACATCCAGTCATCCACACACTGGTGATGGCAGCTACACTGTAGCCACCCTGGGGCGAGGCTGCCGGACACTGGCACCACCGGGCCCTCTGACCACCACCAGTAGCCCAAGGACGCAACCACCGAGACTGTCCAAGCCGGGGCTCGAACCGGATACCTTCCGATTACAAGGCGAACAACAAAAGGACAGAAGACTGAAAATGAAACTCAAACACGTGTTAAAGTTCAGATTCTAATCAATTAAAAGCTATTTTTCGGGTGTACTATGAGCCGATTTAAAAGTGGGGTAATGTTTGTTCACGCCCCACCTTCAGTTGTTTCAGCTGTTCAGAAATCTGCTCCGACACGTACGGAAGTTTAAAGTTTGAGATTTCAGAGCAAAGTTCTGCAGCGGTCAGACAGCCTCAGGTTCTTACCTCTTCCCGCAGCAGGCAGCAGGCAGCTCTGTGTTTGCTCTCAGGGTCCCGACTCACACACGGAGGAGAAAACCGACCGAAGTGCAGTCACTGCGGGAAAGACGAGAGAGACTGCAAACCCCGGAAATGATCAGTCAGAAGCGAGGTCCAATCTGGTCCGGGGAAACACAGACACACACACAGACACACACACACGACACACACACGACACACACACGACACACACACGACACACACACACACACACAGACACACACACACACACA